AAAAAGGGGGAAAAAGGAGGGAAAAAAGGGGGGAAAAGGGGAGGAAGGGAAAAAGGGGAAAAAGGGGAAATAAAAGGGAATTAAAAAGGGAATAAAAGGGAATAAAAAGGGAATAAAAAGGGAATAAAAAGGGAATAAAGAAGGAAATAGAAGGGGGGAAATGGAATTTAAAAGGGAATTAAAAAGAGAATAACAAAGGGAATAAAAAGGGAATAAAAGGGGAATAAAAATGGGAATAAAAGGGAATTTAAAAGAGAATAAAAAGGGACTAAAAAAGAAAATAAAAAGGGAATAAAAGGAGATTAAAAGGGAATAAAAACGGGAATAAAAGGGGAATAAAAAAGGGAATAAAAGGGAATTTAAAAGGGAATTTAAAAGGGAATAAAAAGGGATAAAAAGGGAATTAAAAAGGGTATAAAAAGGGAATAAAAAAGGGAATAAAAAGGGAATTAAAAAGGGAATAAAAAGGGAAAAAAAGGGGAATAAAAGGGAATAAAAGAGGAATAAAAAAGGGAATAAAAGGAGATTAAATGCGAATAAAAAAGGGAATAAAATGGAATAAAAAAGGAAAAAAGGGAATAAAAAAGGGGAAATAAAAGGGAATAAAAAAGGGAATAAGAAAAGGAATAAAAAGGAATAAAAAGGGAATTAAAAAGGGAATAAAAAGGGAAATAAAAAGGGAATAAAAAGGGAATTTAAAAGGGAATAAAAAGGAAATAAAAAAGGGACTAAAGTGCAATGATTGGCACCTTGTGGATGCGGGGGGCCCGGGGCTCGGTGCCCACGTCCAGCACGTAGATGCGCGAGGAGATGAGCCCCGGCAGCACCAGGCGGTTCCGCGCTTTGCCGGGGTCACCGTGGCAGCTGCTGCAGGCGTTCCAACCCGAGTGGTGCAGCTCATCGGCCACGTTGGGCATGGGCAAACGGTGGATCACCTGGGAATGGGGAAAATGGAGAAAAATTCAGGATTTTCCAGGGAAAAATGGGGTGGGAGTGGTGCAGGGTGATTGGGTTAATAGGGGAATTACTGGGAGAATTATTGGGAGAAGGAAGTTGGATTAGATGGAGTCAATGGATCAGTTGGGAACGGGGAAAATGGTCCAGAATTTGGGATTTTCCAGGGAAAAATGGGGTGGGAGTGGTGCAGGGAGATTGGGTTAACATGGGAATTGTTGGGAGAATTATTGGGAGAATTATTGGGAAAACTGGGAGAGGGGAGTTGGATTGGATGGAGTCAATGGATTACCTGGGAAATGGGGAAAAACCTCCAAAATTCAGGATTTTGCAGCAAAAAATGGGGTGGGGGTAGTGCAGGGAGATTGGGAAAATAGGGGAAATTATTGGGAGAATTATTGGGAGAAGGGAGTTGGACAGGGTGGGATTGATGGAATCAATGGATCACCTGGGAACGGGGGGAATGGGCCAGAATTTGGGATTTTCCATTAAAAAATGGGCTGGGAGTGGTGCAGAGAGATTGGGATAATACAGGAATTATTGGGAGAATTATTGGGAGAAAGATGTTGGATGGACTGGTTTGGATGGAGTCAATGGATCACCTGGGAACGGGGAAAATGGACAAAAATTTGGGATTTTCCAGGAAAAATGGGGTGGAGGTGACACAAGAAGATTGGGATGATACAGGAATTATTGGGAGAATTATTGGGAAAACTGGGAGAAAGAAGTTGGATGGGGTGGGATTTATGGAATCAATGGATCACCTGGGAAATGGGGAAAACCCTCCAAAATCTGGGATTTTACCTCAAAAATAGTGAATGTTTTTTTTTATTCAGGAAGTTTGGAATAGCAGGAGAATTTTTGGAAAAATTATTCGGGAGAATTTTGGGGAGAAGTGAGTTGGATTGGGGCAAGATTTATGGAATCAAAAAATTGGAATAAACCTCCAAAATCCAGGATTTTCCCTCAAAAAAAGTGGACGTTTGTTGTGCAGGGAGCTTTGGGATAATGAGAAAATTATTGGGAAAATTATTGGGAGAAGGGATTTGGATGGGATTTACGGAATCGATGGAAAACCTGGCAGTATTGGGGCGATTTGGGATCCACATCCACCGTGGCCAAAAAATCGGGAATTTTCCTCCCGGTGTTCCGGTAGATGCAGGGCACGTAGATGATCTCCTCACGAGGGCCTGGAAAAACAGGAATTTTGGGAAAAAAATCTGAAGTTAGGTGAGGAAAAACCTCCCCGGAGCCTCTCCCAGGAGTGGGGGTTTTGTGGGGTGGGTGGGGTTGAGTTTTCCTGCTGGTCTGAAGGTTTTTTGGGAATGGGATTTTTTGGGAATGAGGCCCCAAATTCTTGGATTCAAGGTTGGGAAATCTGAAAATTCTTGAATTAAAGGGAAGGAGCCCCAAAATTCTGGGATTGAAGGGAGAGAGAGAGAGACCCAAAATTCTTGGATTCAAGGCTGGGAAACCCCAAAATCTTGGATTCAAGACAAGGAGACCCCAAAATTCTTGGATTGAAAGGAAGGAGCCCCAAAATTCTCAGATCCAAAGAAGGAAGACCCCAAAATTCTTGGACTGAAGGGAGGGAGAGACCCAAAAATCTTGGATTCAAGTCTGGGAAACCCCAAAATTCTTGGATTGAAAGGAAGGAGAAACCCCAGATTCTTGGATTAAAGGGAAGGAGAGACCCCAAATCCTTGAACCCCAAGGAGACCCCAAATCCCTGGATCCAATCCCTGGATCCCAAAATCCCAAAATCCTGAAATCCCGAAATCCCGGAATCCCGGAATCCTGGCCCCTCCGGGGGCGGCTCCGTTGCCCAATCCCGGGGGAAGAACCGGTTTGGGAAGAGCCGGGAACTCCCGGTTTGCCCGAGGTTTCAGGATCCTGGAAATCCTGAAAGGGTCAGGGACAGCGATCCCGGGATTGGAATCACAAAAATCCCAAAGTTTCAGGGACAAGGATCCCAAAAATC